GCAGAAACAAACTGATGACTCTGGTGGGTTGAAAAATATGCACTATGAAACTATCTCTCTCATCTTTGTGTACACATTTAAGCACAAACACCCTATCATAAATATCATTAAATGAACAGGTCAATAACATAATTGTTCAATAACATAATTGCATTTTGCACTCTGGCATGCAACTGGTATAAAATAAAGTGAGCACAACTCACAAAAATGTGAAATTTTGCAAATGCACCTAAGATTGCCCAATGGAGCTGGAAGGAGACAGAGCAATCCAGCCAATGGTAGCTGCAATTAAGAATTACAATTGAGTGAGCCACAACCGGATATGCAAATTAAATACAAAAGAATTCAAAGAGCACTGATGAAGGTTTGCATATGACTCACAGAACATAAAAGAAGTCTTGAAAACACCTGGTTGCCTCATGCAAGCTACAGGATCATATCTATCTGAATCTCTAAAAATGAAAACATGACATTTTTGAATCTCTATTAGAACATGATCGTATTTAGGAACGAATAAAAAAAATTCAATTGAGAAGACCACATGCAATAACACATTACCAAGAATGCTGCATTCATTTTTTCCCTAGTTTTAGTAGGCAGGCTTAGATATCATCCCATGTCAGGCTAATGAGCAATGTGGGAATCGAGAAAAAATAAAAAAGTTGAATGCATGGGAATAGATCACTAAAATTTTTCTGAATGAACAAGAAGTGATAAGGTACACATGACTAGGTGACGAATGAATGTGAGCTGAATGAAAAAGTGAACTCATCGTACACCTTATATACCATTGTGTATGTGTGTATGTGAGAGAGAAAGAGATGACTTGGTTATAGAGGTAGTCCTTGACTTATGACCACAATTGAACCCAAATTTTCTGTTAAGTGAGACATTTAAGTGAGTTTTGCCCCATTTTACAACCTTTCTTGTCTCAATTAAGTGCATCACTGCAGTTGATAAAGTTGGTAAATCCGTTGTAAAGTGAATCTGGCTTCCCCACTGACTTTGCTTGTCAGAAGGTCATAAAAGGTGATCACATGACCATGGGAGACAACAATGGTCATAAATATGAACCGTTACCAACCATCTTAATTTTGATCACATGATCATAAGGTTGCCACAAAGGTCATAACTGTGAAAAATGGTCATCAGTTACTTTTTTCAGTGCCGTTGTAACCTTGAACAGTCAACTAAATGAACTGTTGTAAGTCGAGGACTCCCTGTATAGCAACAAACTGAAAATTGTAATTGCAAAACAATTACATGCACGAAGACTAAGCAGGTTGTGAGGAAGGAGGGGACTGAAAAAACTACGGTTGAGTAAGAAAAAAATGAAATATATGGTGTGGAGGGTGTAACAGAAGCTGACATGGAGTGTAAAAAAAGATATGTAAATGGATTGGCAAAAGTTAGATAAGATTTTCTTTCTGTTTTATTTATCTCCTGCCTCCAATTTATTTTCATTCACTAGTTTTTACTTTTTTGCATGCCACAAAAGATGGTTTACCCTAAATGGGAAGCGAGTGATTAGTACTGTATGTATGGTTGGTATGGATGTTCTCTTTAAAAAAATAAACTCACTAAATTGCAGCAGTATCACCTGATAAAGACGGAGGGTGCTCAAGTGCTCATCTCAAAGACTAAGCTCTGTATAGCACAACATTTCAAGCCTCCTAATATCAGAGTTTTCAGAAGTAAACCACCGAGTTTTCAGGATGACAGGCACGTTTATTTACATATAGTTTTAAAGTCTGGCGATTCTCCTGTCTTTAGATTGTTTCCACAAACCACTATGACTGATTTGATCCTAATGGATGGGGCACAATCATTTCTCAAGTTTAGGCACTTAATCTATTTTAGAATTATAATACAGGAAAAAATAAGTAAGGTTGGTATTGATAATTCCCAGAATTGCCACACGCTTAAACATTAGAATCACCCCATATTGAATGCAGGCACATATCCACATCCACAGAATTAGGAATCTGACATTCAAAAAAAAAAAAAAAACCTTTTGGAGTCAGACTGCAAAATCACTTTTAATCACCAGCCATCTTTTTTTCCCTCCCAGAATAGATTCTGACACCACAAGACGCCAGAAAGACTTTAACAAAATGGAAAGCCGAACAGAGAATAAGCCTTTTGCTTTTCAATACTCTCTCAACCAAGCTGAAAGGGCCGTTGCTGCTCAATAAAGTTTACAAGAGTTAGTGCACAGAAAGGAGGTCAGCATGTTATTAATCAGCTTGGAGAGGAAGGGGGGCTTTTCACATGAATAAATGTAATGCTATTCTTGGAGTGAGGGCGAACCTGCCATCTATCTGACACTAAATGGTTCAGGTCTTGCTGATAGGAAATCCTTGAGGTGGTTCGATTCTTTCTGGGCACAGCAAACCAAAACATTCTGCTCTTTCTCCTTCTTACCCTACAGACTTTACTGTAGTCAAGTCCTAGCCCCGGCCACAGCCCCCCACCCCCAAACTCACACACATTACACACGCTCTCTCTGATAAGGCCCACTCCCCAGACTTTTCCACTTATTACCAATGTATTATCAGGCAGCCTCCCTGCTTAAGACTCTCCATACCTTTAAGGCAAACAGATGCGGCAGGAAATGTGGTGGAGCGCTTTGATAAGGGCTCTTTCACGGACTGATGGAAATTTCCAAACGGTCAGTTATGAAAAGGCAGGAAAAAGCAGTGAAGCCCAGCAAGGATCAGAGCCCATAGCCTGTAACCAACAGCAATATAGGAAGGACTAAGCATCTTGAATATGAGCTGATGGATGGTAGGGCCTGCTGCCTGAAATGAATGGGCCCAGTTAAAAAGCAAATTTGGATTACGTATCAGTCTGCTTTTTAGTCACCTTAATTTCCCATAATACCAACAAGCCCTTGATTTTGCAACTGGCTGTGGTTTCTTAGAACCGTATCCTTTTGGCCACCAATAAACCCAGTTGCCTTTTGGAAACTCCTTCCTGCTGCTGGGGGGCCAAAGAGCAGTTTAGTGAGGGTGGGGGAAGGGTGTCAGAGCGTGGAAGAGAGCAGCAACTTTGGTTCTCCCCTCAGGGTTAGGGTTAGTGAGGTTATTATAGCAGGCAGCTGCATAGAGGTGCAGCTCTACAATCTCCCAAGTCTGCAGGTTTAAAGCTAAGCAACGAACTGCAAAGGAGAAAGGGGGGGAAAGTGTGGCTGCCACCACAAGATAAAATGGGTAGCGCATAAACCAACCAGGAATCAGAAGCAAATGCTGTTTACAAAATAATCTTCAAGTACAAGTGAATCCATGACTTCTAACTTTTTTGCTGCTTATTCTGTGAAACCACCGCAAGTAAGAGAAGAAGGTGAAATGAAGCGTTCCTTGGCGACGAAATTAAGCTTCGAAGGACGTCTCTTCTTTCCTGCCGACCGCATATTTTGGGTAAGGTCATCCAGTAGCAGAGCCAGCCAGCCAGCTTCCCTCCCTCCCTCCCTCTTCCCCCGCCCCCAGCTTCAGGCGCTGCAGGAGGCAGGCATGGAAGCGCCAGCCAGGCTCGCCCACTGTCCGGCAAGACCTCGCGGGGAGAAGCGGAGGCGAAAACAGCTGACAGCCCCTGCAGAGGCGCTCCTCAAGGCTCGGGCGCCTCTCTAATCCGCCCGCGCCTGCTCGCACAAGCAGAGCAGGGACGACGTGGTGGGTCAGCCAGACCCAGCAGCCTTCAACGCCTGGCTGGCTAGCTGCAGACACTACGGCTGTAACCTGGGAAACGAACCACCGATTAGGCGGCCCAGGGGGCGGATGGGGGGGGGGGGGGCTCGCCGGATTGCAAGGGGGGGGGCGGCCGAAAGGGGGGGGGGGGGGGAGAACGGAAAGAGACCCTGCAATAAATCCCGTGCGCTGAAAGCTGGCAGCTGTCGCCTTAAAGGAAGGGAAAAGGGGAGGGGGGGGGAAGGCGCTAAATCTTCCAAACAAAACTTTGCTCAGCAGCTACGAACCAAGTGCTCACTCCCCCCCCCCCCCCCCCCCCCCCCCCCACCCCCCAAAAAACCACAAAACCACCCCCCCCCCGCCCCCCCCGCCCATTTGCCCCCCCCCCCCCCCCCCCCCAAATAACCCCAAGGACCAGGAAAAAACGAGAATCGCCCGAACCTTCGAGTGGCGGCTCCACTCACAGCCTGCCCGCTTCTCTTCCTGCCGAAGCAGAAAAAGGAGCCGAGGTCTCTGCCCTGCCGGGTGGGCTTTCGGGATCGAGGGAAGAGGCCGCCCTCTTCAGGGGACCTCCCGAAGCTGCTCTTTCGCCGCTGGCGCTGCTCAGAATCGCACGCGGCACACACCCCAAATTCCCCCCTCGCTTTTTGTCTGGAGCCACTGATCTGAGACCAGCGTGGATGTGCTGCTGCGGCAGCAACACCTCCCCAGAAGGAAAGCAGGGAGGGACGGAAGGAGGCGGCGCGGAAGGTGGAAGGAAGCCAGAGGGACTTACGCCATCCACTCGGCAGCCCCCGAAGGGAAGGGAATTACTTCACCGCCGCAAACTTTTCCGCAAGACTTTCCTCCTTCCCGCCCTGCATCTCCAAACCGAACACAGAGGAAAGGCCTCTTCGGAGCGTTGCACCTACCAGAAGCTTAAGCGGTCCAGAGCTACAAGAATAGCAGCCGTGAAGCCGAGGAAGGAGAGCTGCACACCCGCCGCCCCGCGGAGTCCGTGTGTGCGTGTTGCGGGCGCGCTGGCGCTAGCCGGATAAGAGGCAAATCCAGATGGTGCCCAGCGGCGATGCTGACGACCTTAACAACCTGCCCCCAAGGTATCCTCGCTCAAAAAGGGACCTCAGCGAAGCGGACTGCCCGCCGGACACATCCAGGAGCGGCAGCGAAGCCAAAGCCGGGCATATTAAGAAAGAGGTCGGAGCGGGCAAAGTCAGAATTGCAAATAAGTTGATCGCGCGAAAGATAGCTGAGGAGAACAGTTCTTGCCCGCCCTCCCTCCCTCGACCCCCGCCAGCAACTCCACGACAAACCCACCTCTACATCCTCGCTCTGCAAGTGCCGAGACAGGCGGACCACATTGCAAAGGGCTGCCTCTTGCTGCCGCCGCTATTGCTAATGCCCGGGGCTGTAAGCAAAACCCGGACCGGACTCTCAGAGCAGGCTCCTATTCGGCTGCCTGGTTTCTCCTCCCCTTCTCCTGCAGCTCGCGGTTTCTCTGCCCTTTTCTTTAGCGCTCCGACAGTGAGTATCCCGCTAGCCTTTCTAAAAAGCCACAAGTCGACAACTTCGTAGCCATCGGTTCATTGGCCTTCCGAGGCTGGGGTACGACCGCTTAATCCAAACAACGCCGCTATCCCTCCACCCGATTCCTTGCACCTTCTTCCCAATGTTATTTCTGCGGCGCAATCTCCTTCCCCATCCTGAGAGAATTCCGATAGCAATACTGTGGCAAGTTCTTTCCCTTTAAACACAACGCATTCGCACGCGACCCAAAGTAGAGATGCAAAAGTTTGAAGTGTTAGTTGCGGGAGGTAGCTGGGCTGTATTGCACCGCATTCGGCGTAGCTTGACGTTTTCAAGTCCACCAAAAAGCAAAGCGAGTCTATTTTTGGAGAAAGGGGATGAAGTTTCCAGATCCTCGCCGGGGAGGTTGGTTTCTGCCACAAGTAGGGGCACGTCTAACACTCTGTTAGGTGAAAAAGGGACAGGCTTGGAGTAAACAACGAGTATAAACAAATAAATTAGCGACAGGTCTAAACAAAAAAGCTTGATTAAAGTGAGCTTTGTGGTCATCCACCTCGGCCTTTAGGAAGAAATCAAATTTTGTTTACAGTGAATTTGAATGTGAGCTCAACAATTCAGAATAATTTTTGTAGTGGCAGAAAAATAAAGAGGCCGGCGGGGCCAAACCCTCCCCTACGTACCAGAATCAGGCAGGACCCAACCGCTTGGGTCAGCTTTTGGCTGGACTCTCCTCAGCTGTCATATTTCCATAGCGGCTACGTGGGCGGACCCTTGATCCCTTTAGATTCCAGTAACCGCGTGACCCCCACAGACGCGGACTTGAGCCATTTTCTCTTCCTTCCACCGCCAAGAGGTGCCCCCTCTCCTTTCTCGCGTAAGGCTACAGGGCAAGCTGCAAATAGCATGGCTCCTCCCTCAAGGCTGGGACGTGATGAGCGCAGTATGGGTGGGCTCGGAAGAACCAGACACCCTTTCCCACATAACTTTGAGCACTGGAGGTGGAGCGGGAGCCTTCGCAGCGCCTCGGCCCCGCGCAGCGGATTGAGTGCGCGATTCGCCCGAGGATCTGTGTGTGGCATGAGGAGAGAGAGGCAGAAGCAATTTATTTTCCGCAATGGGCAGCGCCGTATGACAAACGCCTAAGAGAGAACCGCTGAGCTCAGGCTAAAGAACAGCGTGCGGCAATTAAGGAGCCAGTCCACCCAAATTTGCTTTCAATTCCCGTTGCTTGCAGGACCGAAAAGTAATTTTAATTCGGAGTGATATCGATGAGCCAGTGTCGTTAAGTTTAAGCGCTAGAAACCCTTTAGGGATTCCAGTTTCTGCTACTGAATAAATAATAGAACATACGTTAAATGCATTAATAAAGCTGACCTAAGTGCTACAAAAAAGATCCTCATTTAATACAGGACTTCTGGTTGGCATGATGCGTGGCTATGTAACAAGGGTGCTATTCAGATGATGATTCTTTGATTTTCCAGATTGATGTCACATTCAAGTAGAGATTTAAGTATATTATGTAATACTTCTTAAATATTTCACTTGTTAAACTGTCTTATTTAATGCCAAATTTTAAATTGTCTTTTAACTTGCTATTTGAGCCTTTTCCTCAAATAAATTGACTGATATTACTGCTATCAATTTGATTTTTTAAATGAAAACATTTATATTTTGTCTTTTTTTTTTCCTCCAAGCTATCCAAACAACATAATAAATGTATTTAACATACAGTGAAAACAGCCAATTAATGAAAATACCACATGAAACAGAAGAAAAACAAGGTTAAAAACAGCCAGTAGAGGAAATGGGGCTCAGTCATTATTTGAAAGGTAGTGACTTGACCTGGCCACAAAAAGGGGTGGAGGGAGAACACCAGGTTTTTTCCCCTGGGAGCAAATTCCAAGGCTGAAGGCAGCTATCAAAAGACCCCCTGCACCTATTCACAAGTAAACACTCAACATTCTTCAAATAGTGGTGAGCAATAAAAAGGGCTTTGGTTAAGAACCCAAAGTTCTCAGCGTTCATATACAGGAATGGAGATAGATCACCTAGCTATTTCCCAGAATGACCAGCCAGAGACTTGTAAGGAAGGGGTTGTCCAAGGAAGGCACAAACAGCAATTTCCTGTGGTTTGCCTTAGCGTCTGATAATTGGAACCACATTGCTGCTGAACTGGAAGTTAGCTGTTGTGACTAACATCGAATATTGTTTGTCTTGCATAAACGTACTCCATTCTTTTGAAGAATATTTAATGCAGTATTCATGTCCTTGCCTTATGACAATGACATCGACATGAATTAGGTCAGTTAAATTCACTTGATGACCCTGAATTTTACTTTTTTTCCCCATTGTTCTTAAAATAAGTTAATATTATTTGCAGCGCTACATTTTAAATTCCCACCTCATTTTGTAGGGTCAGAAGGTCATAGGGAATCCTCTAAGCAAACCTGGAATCAGTCAATAAAGGCTGGTGCCAGAAGTTATTGACTTGACTGAAAAAGAAAATGTACCAAATTCTCTTTAGGTTATGTGAGCCTTTCCCTATTATATTCAGAGAAACAATGTCTTAGGTGCTAGACAAAGACAGAATCGCATGTATGCTTTTCCACAGGATAATGTAGAACAGCAGTGAGAAGCTTAGAAAGTAGATATCACAAAACTACAATCCCCATTAGCTGGTCAGCAGTGAGGAATTGTGGTTCAATAACACAACAAAAGCCACATTCCTTCATTTATACTATAGAACGTGCATTTAACAAATGGCAAACAAGGAAAGTAATATACATTCACTGGTAGTCCACAGTGCCTTTAAAACATAAATCTGAAGTAATGCTGGGGATAGAATACCTGTCCAAATGAGAAGGGGCAAAAAGCAGGGAGACGGGACAAATTGGCAAAGCATAAGCCAGGGAGAGGTTGGAAGAATTAAAATATACCCATCAAAATAAGAATGTACTGAAGGAAAACATGGAAGTCACTAAAGCTAAATTAATTTGCATCAGATCACATGGAGGCAATAGCTGTGTATGAACTAGATTTTATTAATGGGATTTATCTGCAGATTTATGATATGGAGAGATGATAATGACTATAATTAACTGAGAAAGGGAAAGAATAGATGGAACGACATAATTAAAGTTGTTATTATAGACATAGGTATAAATAATAAATGACAGCATAACCACCCAAACCATCCATTCTGTTAAGGTAGCAAAACAAGAAATTTGACCCCTATCTAGATTACTAAGCTAAACTAAAGAATTCATGTTGGACCAAAGTTAAAAAAAAATGGTGTTGAAAATAAATTATTAAGAAATAACAATAATGAAAGAAGGAATGTGATAGAAAGCATATGGCTTGTTTGGGATAATACTAACTATTGGGGATTTTTTAAGGATGTACATCAAACAGCAAAGATTTTCTTTTGAACTTGGAACAAAACAACATACAACACAGAAAAATGTTTCACAATAAAACGGGAAACACCTTCAGAATAGAACACAAAGCATTTTAAATTTTCCAGTTATAGGTAATAGCAACATAGAAAAAGCTCCTTTTTTAATGCTTCAGAGTAATAAGTCTAGCTTATTAGTACTGACTGCTAACAGCCAGACAACTTGCAGAAAAAAATTGAGAAACATTATTTTAAAACATTTTTAAGAACTCCCAATTATAAATTTGATAAGTAATTTACCCTGATGTGGGCACTCAGGCCAGATTGAATGCAAAGGGAAATAAGATTCTTGTTAATTTGTTAATTATATTTGTTGTATTCTTTCCATTTTCGCCAGAGCACAGCATCTCAGGATAGGAAGAAAAGCTAGACGGAAAATGAATCCTAGTTAGTCCATGCCAAGAGGAGTACTTTCTGAGATGTTTATTAAATCACACTCTTTCCCCTATTTTACTATAAGATAGTTTGTAAATAGTCATCAATTTTAGACTAGTTGTTTCAGTACTTAATTTATAGTTGAACCAGCAGATACAGGAGGTTCAGGAGACCATGTTTGAGAAATTTTGCATCTTTCCAATGAATGGTTTTGAAATAGTTGGAGCAACAGCTTCTGCTTCACAGAATGAACTCGACAGACAGTAAACAGACAGACAGACAAAATAAATGTTTCTATCCAGGAAAGAGGCCCTACGTGGGAAATACAAAACTCCCTATCCCAATGCTTGCGCTTATATTCTAAAAACTCAGCAATGACCAACATAAAAGATGAAGCATAAATCATGGACAATTCACTTCTGAGGAAAAAAAAAAACCTACTTCACCCTTTGTGCACCTGAAATGCACTTTTAGGAGACAGGCCAGTCAACAAGTTAAAACATGTCTTTGTGGAAGAGTGTACTATGGACTGCATCAATTATGCACAAAAATATACTACTGTAAACATATCCCCCAAAGCTCAACAAACCAACCCTAACCATCTAGTAAAGTCTTTGCATTCTACCAATAATAGGGCAAAAGATAATGTAATAAGACCAAACCAGCACAAAGCGAAAAAAGAGATTACGGTTTTGCTTTACTTAGTGTATACGTGGAAATTTTTGAATGATTCTGCTGAATGTAGCTTTCAGAGTGCCTTTGAAAATGAAGCTTCATCTTTAAAAACATCTGGAATCTTGTCATGTTTACAGTTTTTATTAGTTTATAATATAAAATGCAAAAGCAAATTGTAGGAAAAATAAGAAAGGGGAAAGGGAAGGGAGAAGTTAGAAAAGAAGGGAAAAAAGAAAAAAAAGGCATTGACTTTTTTTTTCCTTCTAGTGCAGTAGAATAAGACAGTAACATCAAACCTCAACTTTTTATTTTTCCGTAATAGTATAAACTAGCCATTTCTGTAACAACAAATCTATCTAATCA